ATCTACGACAGGTGACCTGCCAATCCGATTACCTTTTTACATAAGTGGCTAAGGGGGACTGACACTCCCCCGTCGTCCACGTCCTGCGGCTCCCGAGGATAACCAATAGAGTTTGACAAGGTTTGTCCGAGCATCTATTTCCTTCCCTAAAAAAAGCACCCTGACAGAGTCGATAGACTCGGTCGCCCGTCGGACCCTTGGCACGGTTCTCCCTCGTAACACTACTTACAACTTACTTCGTAACTAATAATACAACATGGAAAGAATTTATACCTCCGCTAGGCTACCTAAAGCGAACTGAAATGGAGAACAGCTGCGAAGTGAAGCTAGGGGATGAAAAGGAAAGATAAAAAATATTGTAAATAAAGTCAAAATGGCTATTTATTAGTGTCAAAATGTTAATGAACAAGTATAAAAATAGTAAGTAGTATTACAGTGTTTCCCGTTTTGTTGCATCGTTAATGTTAGGACAAAACGTTTTTACAAACATCTCTCAAATTCATTAGCTCCCTGTTATTGAGGTAGTTTAATATTCTTTGAATACAAAGTAAATCATAATATCTACCGAGGAAACGGCGGAAAAATGTAACGCCCTCGTCTAACAACTCCTTTTGTACCATACCTCTATTGAAACGACGTTCTATTATGTCTTCGTAGATAGGAAATTCTCTCCTATAATTGCTCCGTTTCAAAACCTGAACAACATCTTCATTTCTCGCGTATAATGCTATTTGGTCTACGCGTTTTGTTAGGATATCATGAAATGTTAGGATAGTATCGTTAATTTTTGTGTTTTTCATTCTCATTNACATAGAAAATCGGTTTCATTCATAGACGCAGATACTCCGAAAGAAGAAAAGAAGAATTCATCAAAAACAGAGGATGAATCTAGCAAAGAGGATGATATACTTAGAATAGAATTCACGCATTCCGAGAATACTCCGTCGGAGATTTCAGAGGGAGACTTAATAAAAACGCCGGCGGATATTTACAGGTTATTTTCGAGGCCGAAATCGATTCTCAAGAGATCTCCCAACGATCTGACTCCCGTACAAGCTGCTCCACCGGAGTACAGCACAGACGACGAGGAAGACGACGACGAAACTGTCAGACCCTCCGCGTATGAAAACGTAATTCTCGTCATTTATACATTCACGATTCACTCGCGATTGGTCAATTTTCACCGACTCTTCACTGACGTTACATCGGCCACAGGTTTAACCAATGACGTAATTAACGACCCATTGTTTATGAACTCAGAATGAATAGATTCCGCACGACATTAAGAGAATTAAAACAATACCGCGGGTTGACAAACGCGATCGACTAATATTATTGGTTAAATTCGGGAAACTTAATTTTCGACTAAATACGTCATTGCCAGTCGTTGGAACTTGAATCAGAGATTTAAATGATAAATTGTGATTTGAGTCATGCGAGATCGATGTTATTTTAGGTGGTGAAGGATATCAAAGAAAAGGACACGACAGTAATCGCGGACGTGGTTACAGAGAAGAAAGAAGAGATGAAAGACACTCGGCCAGTTAGTAAATTTAAAAGAGACCGTATGTTAAGAAAATAGTATCTGTACAATATTTTGATGTGTCATCTGTTTTGTAATAAAGAATGCTTTATACATACATTCATAATATATACATTATATACACATTATATTCAAAATATTCACATATTATATACACACATTTACAGTATATACATAATTATAAATCACGTACTGATCACATAATTGTAAATAATTCACATATATATGATCGCTGCTTTGAATTATTCACTTATCTTTTCTGTGTCGTTTCGCTTCAATGAGTTCGATGGTCTTGTTTGTAATAGTTGGGGACTTGTAATCGTACGTGCTCTATCAGTTAATTAAGTTCCCGATTTTAATACGAATTCTGATTAGGATCGTAGATTCGATTTAGACTTTAATTATGACCCTGTTTCTGGATTCAATTTGATTTTGACAAATATTCGTACGAATAAAAAATAGAGTGAAATACTATTTCAAATGAATTCTAAATAATGAACCGAACAGAGAAAAATTGTTTGTACGTCCAAGTACACTAACAAAATTAATATACAGTTATATAA